CTCCTGATCTAGGATTTATAGTAGTTTTAATTTTTTCCTATATATGATAAATGTCTATACAAGGTATAATGAACATAGTACTATGACACTGAAGTCTCCCCCTATGATGCAATACACACTTACTACTACAGGCTGAACAACCTTAATCCAAACTGCTTCAAAATCAGAAACTGTTGGAGTGCTAACATGACACCACAAGTGGAAAACTGAAAATTCCACAACATATCACAAGCGACAGCTCACAATCACAATGCAGGAAGAGATCTAAGACGGCTGAACAGGGTGTAGTCAACACTAACTTAAGCTGCTCTAAGGTAAGAAAAGAACAAAGGAAGGACTGATGGAAATTTTCGGTGAAGAAGCAACAAACAAACAAACAAACAAAAAACAGGAAGACTCTGAGGGACAAGAGGAGAGGAGACGGAGACACTGCTGTAGCCAGCCACCGGCTGGGAGCCTCCATCTTATCACCTCAAGGTAGAAAGAAATCGCCGTGCGCCCCGCTGCGTGCAGTTTTAGCTGAGAGGGAATTCCACAGTCACCCACTGACTTCCACTTCAGCCTGGAGAGCTGACCGGGGTCTGAGCAACAGCCTGGTTTGCAGCAGGGAAGCAGTGCTGACTTCCTTGTCCCTCTGCCCCTTATCCACACAGAGCACCATACTCAGCAGCAAAAAGCCACACAGCGTACCTCTTTTCTGCTCCTACCAGCATCGAAGTCAGAGTCAGGGCAACATGAGGGGCAAAGCATGGATCCCCTGCATCCTGCAACTGTGGGAATTTTGGGACGTTAGCCCCAGAGCTATGCTAATGAACTCTTTGTGAACCAGGCCATTCACCTAAGCTGCTGGGGGCTAACAGAAGCAGCTCATAAAAAAAAAACTGTATATTAAGATAATCGAAAATGAATCTTGATGTGAATGGAAGGGGAGAGGGAGTGGGAAAGGGGAGGGCTGTGGGTGGGAGGGACGGTATGGGGGGGAAGCCATTGTAATCCATAAATCGTACTTTGGAAATTTATATTCATTAAATAAAAGTTAAAAAATATATATATAACAGCAATGGAAAATCTAAAAAAAAAAAAAATAAATCTGCTCCCACCCTGGGAGACCTGGGTAATGATACCACTATTCCCTGCAACACCAGGGCTGTAACAATTCATTCTAAATTTCTCAGTGCCACTGGAATCTACCCAGTGGACATGGGGAAAACAGACCTGCATTCCACCTCTCTGAACTCATACCCTCCACAGTAAAATCTGTATACTTGTAGTTGCCCAGTAGGACTGGAACAGGGTTCACTTCACATCCTGTAAGTCCTAGGGTAGGGCTGCTGGTGTTATAAAACACAGCACTAGTTAGACTCTCTCTCCTAGCAGGGCCTGAGGAAGGGTCCATCCACATCACACAGTCCTACAGCCATAGTAATTGATGCCACAAGCCCCAGTGTCACTCAGGCATGCCAGTGGGAGGGCAGGGGCAGCTACCCCTGTGTCCCTCAGCACCAAGAACAGGGCCCTAACTATCACATTTCCCAGGGAGACTGACCAAACTCTTTGTGGGCCAATGATAAACAACCAAGGAAACCTTTATTCATTTCGAAGCCACATTTCTATCCCAACAAAATACTAGTAAACTGAATCCAAAATCACATCAAAAAGATCATACATCACAATCAAGTGGGATTTATCCCAGAAATGCAAGGATGGCTCAATGTTTGTGAATCAATAAATATCATAAATCACAACAGAATGAAGAACAAAAACCATATGGTAATCTCAATAGTTGCTGAAAAAGCATTTGATGAGATTCAACACCACTTCATGATTAAAAACTCTCCACAAATTAGGTACAGAAGGAACATTCATTAAAATTATAAAGGCTATATATGACAAACCAACAGCCAATATTATACTGAGTGGGGGAAAAGCTGAAAGCACTCTCCTTCAGATCTGGAGCAAGACAAGGATGTCTACTTTCACCACTCTTATTCAATACAGCACTGGATGTTTTAGCGAGAGCAATTAAGGAGGAGAAAGAAACAAAGGGCATCAAAACTGGAAAAGAGGAAGTCAAATTACCCGTGTCTGCAGATGACATGATGTTGTATACATAAAAACCTAAGCAACCCCAGCAAAAAGCTGTAAGAATTAATAAACCAGTTCAGTAAAGTTGCAGGTTGCAAAATAAACATATAAAAAGGTAGTTTTTTTATATGCTAATGATGAACTTACAGAAAGAGAACTCAAGAAATCCCATTCACAATAGCCACCAAAAACAAATATTTAGAAATAAATTTAATGAAAGAAATGAAATATCTCTACAACAAAAATTATCAAATATTAATGAAAGAAATCAGGACATACAAAAAAAATTGGAAAGACATTCCATGCTCATGGATCGGAATACTCAATATCATTAAAGTGTCTATACTACCTAAAGCAATTTATAAATTCAATGCAGTCTCTATCAAAATGTCAATGACATCCTTACAGAACTAGAAAAAGCTATTCTAAAAGTCATACAGAATCACAAAAGACCCAGAATAGCCAAAGTGATCCTGAACAAGCAAAATCAAACTGCAGGCATCACAATACCTGACTTCAAAGCATAATACAAAGCTATAGTAATTAAAACAGCATGGTACTGGCATAAAAATTGATACACATATCAATAGAACAGAATTGAGAGCCCAGAAATTAACTCACATACATACAGCCAAGTGATTTTTGATAAAAGTACTCAGACTACACAGTGGAGTAAGGATAGCCTCTTCAACACATTGTGCTGGCAAAACTAGATGCATATATGTAGAAGAATAAAATTAGATCCATACCTCTCACCACGTACAAAAATCAACTCAAGATGAACAAAAGACTTAAATTTAAGACCTGAGACTATGTTGGTTTTTTTTGTTTGTTTGTTTGTGTTTTTTTGATAGGCAGAGTGGACAGTGAGAGAGAGAGAGACAGAGAGAAAGGTCTTCCTTTGCCGTTGGTTCACCCTCCAATGGCCGCCGCGGCCAGCGCGCTGCAACCAGCGCACCGCGCCGATCCAATGGCAGGAGCCAGGTACTTCTCCTGGTCTCCCATGGGGTGCAGGGCCCAAGCACTTGGGCCATCCTCCACTGCACTCCCTGGCCACAGCAGAGAGCTGGCCTGGAAGAGGGGCAACTGGGACAGAATCCGGCGTCCCGACCGGGACTAGAACCCGGTGTGCCGGCACCGCAAGGCGGAGGATTAGCCTAGTGAGCCGTGGCGCCGGCTAAACCTGAGACTATGAAGTTGCTGGAAGACAATGTAGGGGAAATACTCCAAGACACTGGTATAGGGGAGGACTTCTTGGATGAGACCCCCAAAGCACAGGCAACAAAAGAAAAACTAAACAAATGGGACTATATCAAACACAGAAGCTTTAGCAAAGCAAAGGAAACCATCAATAGAGTAAACAGACATCCAACAGAATGGGAAAAAATATTTACAAACCAATTCCCTGACAAAGGATTAATATTCTGAATATATCAGCAACTTAAAAAACTCAACAACAAAAAACAACCAATTCAGTTGAGAAATGGGCAAAGGAATTCAATAGACAGTTCTCAAAAAAAGAAATACAAATGGTCAACAAATATATGAAAAAATGCTCAACATCACAAGCCATCAGCGAAATGCAAATCAAAACCACAATGAGATATCACTGCAATCCTCTCAGAATGGCTAAAATCCAAAACACAGAGAATAACAAATGCTGGCAAGGATGTGAACAAAGGGGAACATTATACACTGTTGGTGGGAATGTAAATTAGTGCAGCCACTGTGGAAAACAGTGTGGAGATTTCCTAAAAAACTGCAAATAGACTTGCCATATGATCCAGCAATACCACTACTGGGTGCATACCCAAAAGACTTGAACACAAACCTGCCCCACCATGTTCATAGCAGCACTGTTCATAATAGCCTAAATCTGGACTCAACCAAGTTGTCCATCATCAGATGAGTGCCTAAAGAAAATGTGGTATATACACACAATGGAATAGTATTCAGCTATAAAGAAAGAATGCAATTCTACCATTTGCAGTAAAATGGATGCAACTGGAGGACACCATGTTGGGTGAAATAAACTGGACCCAGAAAGACAAATACCGCATGTTCTTCCTTATATGTGGGAGCTGAAATTCAACACACACACACACACAGAGTCAGAAAAAAAGAAAAGAAAAAAGAAATGTCTGTGTGACACTACAATAGTATTAACGTTCTGTGATTACTTTAAAAATTACTGAATTTGTGTGAAATGGTCATTTTTCCATTCAATTATTGTTTATAGCCATTGTCTATATTTCCACTAAAATATGATCTTTCTGCTTTTTATTTGTTAAACTTACAATTTGGTGAAGTATTAAGCCTTTTTACTGTAATTTTAAAATATGTTATCTCAAAAATTACAAAAAAAAAGAAAGGGAGAAGGAAGGAGAGAGGGAGGGAAAGAAGGGGAGGGAGGCAAATCATTATGTTCTTAGAATTGTATCTACAAAGCACACTGAGTCTGTTAAAAATTAATTAAAAAACTTTTTAAAAAAACAAAAACTGCAGAGACACTGAAAATTTTGTGTCAAACTACCTTCAGGTTACAAACAAATGCATTTTGTGTTTAGATTTGGGTCCCACTCCTTAGATGTTATTATGTAAATGCAAATAATGCCAAAAAACGATACAAGCATTTGCGATAAGGACTACTCAAAGTGTCTGTGTGTGTGCGTGTGCATGAGAGAGAGAGAGAGAGACAGACAGACAAAGAACGTGCAGTGGTATGTGTGAGCTAAGGCACTATGAGCACTGATTTCTACTTCTATGCCAACAATTTTTCCCTATAAAACAATGAAGGATCTTCCTGAATACCTGATTCAGTGTGATTTATGAATGCAGGATGCTTATTATACAATGGGAAAAGGGGTTAAGAACAGGAAATGAGAAGGAATGTCATTTGCTGCCATTCACATTACCTTCAGGAGCAATTGCGGAAGGACACACTTCTTTGAGGAGATCGCCAAGTGTATGCAGCTGTCCATCTGCAGCCACAGGACGAAACAGCTTCTGAATGAAAGGTCGTTCAGTCGTCGTCTATGTGAAAGAAAAGCACAATAATAATTTCAAGTAAAGAACTCTTTGCTACTGCTAATTATAAACTAATAGGTCTTAAATATTATGTTACAATTAGGTACCTTCTGATATGACAAAATCAGAAGCACACAACATCAGAGATGCAGCATAACTGCAAAAAAATAGTTTACATGATAAATTCAAGTAAATATAATCCTCAGGAAACAATCAGACAAATCCAGAAGGGGGACATTCTAGAGGCAACCAGTTGGGGCACCTCAAAAAAGCTGAAGGCATCAAAAATCAAAACAACACAAAAAATACACTAAAAAAGAATTGCCCTGGCTGAATACTGGACTGAAAAGGGAAATTTTAAAAACTCAGCTATAAAAGAGTATTGGGAAAACTAGGGAAATATGGACTGGGTATGTAATCATATTGATTTGATGTTAAACTTCTCAGGCATGCTGACAGTTGTAATGACAGTGTTTATTTTTAAGAAATTTATGATCAAGTATTGATGGATGATGTGCCATGATGTCTGAAACTTACCCTCAAGTGGTTAAAAAAAAGATTAGGTACATAGAGAAAGCAAACATGGAGAGATGTTAACTATTGGTGAATCTAGGTAGAGGAGATATGACTTTATTAGATTTACTATTTTTGAAAATTTCCAACATAGGAGATTCACCATTTCTTCTACCAAAAATTACTATTAACACAGTAATGTAATTTTTTGCTAGTATTTCAATCGTTTAATCCATATTTACGATTGCTTCAGGGACAGATATTTGTGCAGTTAAGACATTGTGTGGGACCTCACCAAGCCATATCACAGTGCCTGGGTTCATGTCCCAGCTCTGCCCAGTTCTACCTTTTTGGTAATGTACACCCTGGAAAACAATGGATGACGGCTCAAGTACTGGAGTCTCTGCCACCCTTGTGGGAGACCTGGACAGAATTCCAGGCAGCTGGTTTCAGCCTGGCCCAGTCCCAGCTATTGGGGAACTTTGGGGATTGAACCAGCAGATTGAGTTCTCTATCAACCTTTCATATAAATAACTAAAATTGCTTCATTTTGCTGAATAACTTCAATATTGATGGAGAGCTCATTGAAACAGATTCTAGAGTTCTGGAATTAGCCAGAGTCTATGAAGAGACCTACTGTTTATGGCTCTAAGAACTTTCACTTACTTTCCTTTATCTGTTAAATTTGGGACATTCTATATCTCTTAAAGTTTGCTGTGGGAATAAATGAGAATTTGAACCAAACACAAAGTACACATATAAAAATTCAAGAAAATTCAACATTTTTTTCTCCTTCTAAATTATTACTTCAAAACTTTAAATTTTAAGCATCATGGAGTGAAAAATCCCCAAAACTTAAAAGAACAAAGTAATGTCTTATGTAGAATATGATTTCAAATATCTATACATCAAAGACAAGTGTTTTTGTTTTCTGTTTGTTTTTTAATCACAAGGTATAGAATTTCTTTGACACAATTGTTAAAAATTTGGTTAAAAAATCTGATCTTTAAGTGTTGATGTATACTAAAATATAAGAAAAAAAACATGTAAACACGTAGACTATCTCTCCTAAGTCTACACTGTGCATTCACTGAATACATACAAAATGTTAAAAAAATATTCTGGTAATATAAATGAATATCTGTGGCAATTATGAAAATAAACCATAGAAATTAACTCTAGGGATTTTCATAAAAATACACACGATTGCTATCCTTAGTTTAGAAGCTCCTACTTTTTTGTACAAGGTGAAACCAAGAACAACATCATGTCCAATGAAGTGGTTAACTACATAAAAATATTAAGGGTTAGGAGTTCAGAGAAGGAAGAGATGAATAGGGAACTCTAGTAAAAATTTAAAATAGCCACCACCCAGTTAGGGCCTTCTATCCTTCAGGCCATGAAGAGGCTTTTAAGACATTTTAGCAAAGGAAGCGATGTGATGAAAGAGGTTTTTTTCTGAAGGTTAATGGAAAGCAGTAGGATGATCTGGTTCAGAGGTAAAGTCAGGATGACTGGGAAGGGGCTGGTGGAATCTAGCCAGCTTATGTGATGTTGTCATCACAGGGCCTGGGGCAGTGGCAAAGGAATGGCAGGACTGCACCCCAATTCAAAAACAACAGTCAGAATGTACTTCCTGTAGCTGCATCTCAAAACAGAATTTTCACAAGCTGGAGAACTCAATCATAACCTAGTTAGTGGCAACATTGTAAAGTGGCTTACCTACTATAATCAAATTACCTGAAAACAATATGCTAAACAGGCCATGAAGTCTTAGTTACTACTAAAAAAGAAATTATAACTCCATTATTGGAAAAATTTCCTATTATCTTTCATTCCACTCTTTCCACTATATGAGTTGTTACAAAAGTAAAACCTTCAGCAACCTTTTATAATGATGTATTTGCTTCTCTAACTATTCTTGTTTTTAAAAACTTTTTGTTCTGGCAAATAGCAATAACATAAAGGCACATACTTAATTTAGGGAGTTAGTTACTGCTAAGGTCTGAATCCATGCATCCCCACGTTTCTCCCCAAAATTCACGGTGAAACCTAATCCCCACCATGGCAGCACCAGGAAGCGTGGCCTTCGCGCCATTATAAAGCTGGTAAACCCCGTCCTCCTGCCATGCGAGGACCCAGCTTTGCCTCTTCCACCACAGGAGGGCTCAGCAATGCGGCACCGGCTTTGAAGCACAGCGCGAGCCCTCACCAGCCACTGCATCTGCTTGTGCCTTAATCCTGGACTTCACAGCCTCCACAACTTTATTTTACTGTTTCTAAGGTATATTGTTATCAGCAGCCCAAGACCTCCACAGATCATGCATTGTACATATTCTACAGGCTGTCTGAAGGCAGTGACAATCAGGGCAGACTCATGCAAATTTCTCAACAGATCTTATTAACCTACGTGCACAGCAGAATAGACTAAATTACATTAAACAGTATTAAAAAGCAATTTTACTTTTGAATATAGAAAATTTCAAAAATACATAAAAACCCACAAATATGAAGCATAATACTTGATCTAGCCACATACTTGTAAATATGCAAACAACTTCAGTAACTTCCAAGAAATAATGTTGCTTTCTCATGAGAAATAACATGACTTGCTAAAGTCATCTTAGAATCTGTCCTTGCTGCTTTTTTAAAATATCTATGTTAGTCATTTCTCAAATATACCAGTAGAATACCAAACTGAGATGTTGCAGCCTACTCCCCACTCATTCCCCTTCATAAATGCAATGATAGCTTTATCCTATATGGAGAAGGTACACTCTTGAATTATCTCAGAGATATAATAAACAGAAGTGGAAAACTCAAATTAGTAATTCTTTTGGCAAACTTTGCTGAATTTAATGAGTCTTACATATTATTAAACAGTTACTTCAAGAGTAAAACAAGCTCCTAAAAATGAAGCATGTTACAGCTATAGTATAAACTGCTGGCCAATCATGGTACTTCTAGTTTACATTTAAGAAAAGCACTGCACTGAAAAAGTTAATTTCAAATATTGTCAAGTAGGTTAACTATACTAATGTTGATAAAATAAGAAACACTGACTTAAGTTGAAAATCAGATAACGTGTAGACTTTCAGAGTAACAGGACAGTATGGAGTATGGCACTTATGGGAATGCCTGTCAAGTCCCAGCTACTTGGCTTCCAAACCAGTTTCCTAGAGGCAGCCGATGGTGGTTAAAGCACTTGGGTCCCTGGTAACCATGTGGGAGATCCAGAATGAGTTCCAGGCTCCTGGCTTTGATCTGACCCACTTCTGGCTGTTATAGTCATTTGGGGAGTGACCTAGATGATGGGAAATCCCTTTCACCCTCTGCCTTTAAAATAAATAAATGTTTCAAATACCTGAGATTTTTTAAATATTGAAAATATATATATCAGACCAAAAGTAATATTACTATTTTAAAATATGAAACAATTATCAATTAAAATCACTAAATAATTCATCTTAAAAAGTGTGAAAATGAATATAGTCAAAGTAGCTACTAAAAAGCAGTTCAGCCAGAGACCACTCTAGACTCTTCTACCCATATCTTATAGTCACAAATTTGCATTTCTGAGGCTGACCCTTCATATCTCAAACAATGTATAGTATAACAGTGATAAGAGTGTAAAATTTAAACTCAATCAGAAGATACAAGTTTTAGCCCTAGATAGAAATGTGTGGTAGGATTCAGTTTAGAGGTCAAAAGCAACTCTGCCAATTATTACCTGTGTGAATCAAGGGAAGTACCAAAATTTCCTTGGGCCCTAGTTGTTTCGTTTATAAAATGAGAATATTAACAGTATGTACCACAAAGGTTTTTGGTAACAATTACACGTGTTTATTCAGGTAAAGCATGTAGAACAGTGTTTGGTATGCAGTAAATGCTCAGTAAGTGCTATTATTGCTCTTATTAAATGTGACATTAGATAGAGCTTTACTGAACACTAGCATATATTTTGCATTGTGTTGTAAAAGAAAGACAATTGTAACAGTGAATCTTGTTATTTTGGTAGCATTAGTACTGACTTTGCTATTTGGGTCATTTATATTGTGTCTATGTATAAAGTAAAATAGTAATGTTGGGCTTATTAAAAGCAACAGTTTACAACTACAAGTGTCCGATCCTGACTCACTTGACTGTGGAGTCAATCAGTGACTGTAAAGAAGAGGAAGAATACCATCAGAGAGTAAAGGAAACTCTACTCACTGAAACAAAACCGACAAAAAGTTATGAAAAAACCTAAAAAACCAGAAAGGTAAAACTTAACAGATGCTCAACAGATGCATGATGCACTGGGCTGTAAAACTTAGCAACAGCTTTAATTAAAAAGCAGGCAGGGAAGGCGGTGCGAGGGAGGTCTCCTACAGGCACAGCAGGCAGAACCCAATGCTGAGGAGGGGCCCAACTGATTAAAACAAAGCTCAGACAGGACTATCCTAGTCATAGTACCCAGAGTTAGGATCTCCCAATGACACCAGTTCCTAAAC